TATATATATATATATATTGGGTTCCAAGGCTTGGGTCTTTACTTCTGAGCCACGCAGTCCCCAACATCTATCTTTCACAGACCCAGGAGTAGGTGACTGGAGGCATGACCTTATGAATCTCTGTCCCCACGCACAGGTGTGGCTTCCTCTTCTGTAAATGGAGGTGCTCAGGCACTGTGAGTGAATCAGGCATGAGCTGGTGGCATCTGGCATTTGCTTTCCCTCCCTGTCCAACATTCAGAAGTTCACCTTCTCAGAAGAGGAGGAAGTATTGGGCACAGCACTTCCACACATGTGCAAAACGAAAATTCCCAGTTTTTCAGTTGCCTAACTGCCTGTGTCACTCTGGGGTTGTCTCATCATGCCTGCCCCCCCCCTCACTTTGGCACACCCGGCATCAATGGGCAGCATTCAGGCTTTATTAAAACACAGGGCTGCTGAGTCACAGAGGAACCTGGTGGGAGCAGGTCACAAGGCCAGCAGTGGGTGGGCTTGATTCCGGATGAACAGGGGCCTGCCATTTGCTATAAAGAGGAGACACCCGAAGGGATGCAATCCTGCAGAAAGCAGCTTCTAAGATAGGGAGGCAGTGGCAAGTGGCAGGGACAGAATGGAAGCAGAAGGTAGAGCATTGATTCCTGTTGCAGAATTGTTCTTATTGGCTTTGCAACTCAGGGCCTCAGGAGATGGAGTCTCTTCTCCCGTCTTAGGGCTACACAGATAACAATATCTTCCCTGTTTGTGACAGAGGCTTATTTTCAAAGTAAAATATTAACCAATGATTTTTAGCTCTTATATGTGCAAGCCATTGGGCTAAGTATATTGTAATTATATGCTCACACAATACTATCACAACAGAGGAAGTAGAGCCTGTTATTAGCATTTCCATCTTGTAGGTGAGGAAACAGATACAGAAAGTTAAGTAAACTGCTGAAGATCATGTACCTACTAAGGAGCAGAGCTGGGGTTTGGGTGTCATCTGCTAAAGCTAATACCTATAACTGATGGTTGTGAGATGTAGTTATGTAATTCTAAGCCTTTTGAAAGTTAATAGAAGGGAAAAAATATCAGATGTCACTAGTTTTCAGACTCCAGTGAAGCACTTAAGCATTCTTACCTTACACATAATCTTAACAGGGTTAGATTATCTGATTTTCCTGCACAAATGTAAAGTGGGATATATTGATTTGGAGTGTTAGAAGCTTAGCATTTGAGAAAGGGGGAACTGTCAAGGCACAGGTAATTTCTTAGGGTAACAGAGGAGACAGAAACACATTATAATTATGGATTGAGGACTCTTACCCCAAATTTGTTCTTTCAGCTCTTTCTGGGGATTTCTCACTTGCCATTTTGAAACCTGTGTGATGGAGTGAGTGCATCTCTGCCTTGTCTAGTTTTGTCTTCATTGCCCTCAAATGGATTTTAGTTTGTGTGTCCTTCTGTAAAAGGAGGCCACCCAGACCTAGGAGACAGGACACCTGTTTCCAGAGATGGTCAGAAATACCAAGGAATTCTGGTAATGGCTAGACTTTGACATTTGACTTTGTGTTTTATCACAAATTCCATCAAAAGGTAAAAAGCAGTCACTGCTTTAACCATCCCCCTTATTATGAGTGACTTTCCATATGTGTGTCTAAATTCTCGGGAGTTTTGACTATTTAATCCCTGGTTTCTCAGGGTTTGTTGCCTCCCTGTTTCCATGGTGATTTCCCAGAGATGTTCCTATTTCTGCACTGGCTGACAACCTTCTTGGTTTGCCTTATTTTTTCTAGTTACTCTTTTTGAAATGCACATAGACCAGAGAAAGATGGACTGGGATCCAGAGCAGAGCGACGAGGCTGATGAGGCCAGGTTTCTACAGGGAGAGAAGACTTCTCCAGAGATTGACCGATCACTGGTTGGAATCTGCCTGGATAAGTCCCACTGGTCTCTGGGAGTAGGCAATACCTCCTGAGTGAAGCTCCTTCTCGCAAGACCCTGGGCAAGTGTGTCCAACACCTAACACTTCTGCATTGTTTAGAGTTCACTCTCCTCTTAGAAACTCTGCCAGGAATGGGGTTTTGTGTAGTTCTTCCTCACTCCAGATCCCAGTGAAGGACAGGGGCTCAGAGTCTGAGGATGTAGCTCAGTGGTAGAGTGCTTGCCTAGAGTGAATGAAGCCCTGGGTTCCATCCCCAGCACCATGAAAAAACAAAACAAAAAAATCAAAACCAAAAGACTAGGGACTCAGAGTAGAATCAGTGTGGTAGGCACTTTTTCTAATCAGGACAATTTAGCAATGAAGTTTTTCCTCGACACGTACATATGCACACACGAAGCAGCATACAAAACCCTATACACAACCATCTCAAAGAGTCCTCAAACCCTATACATAATCATCTCAAAGAGTCCTATGTGGATGTTACTACTTTGAGAGTCAAGGTTCTGACTTTCAGGAAATAAATAACTTATCCAAGGCCACAACTCTGAGAAGAGCCAGGCCAGAACCCTGCCTCTGCTGATCCTCCAGCCTGAATGTTTACCCAGCACAGCACACACCTTCTCTAGCAATAATTTTCTCCAGGCAATAGATTTGGGAAGGATCCCAGTTTGCCTTAGGCAGAAATAAAAAAAAACTCTTTTATTAAGAAAATGTTCTTTTTTCCTAATGTCAGTTTGGAAGGGATGGGCCAAAAGGACTTTAAAACCACACCCCCACGACCTCATCTTCTCTAGCTTAGTCTTCCATTAGGTGATCTTCAATAGACATTGCTTCATTAAAACCCCCAATTGATGCAAACAGCTAAGTCATTTGTCGCAAAGAGCAGGAAAGGCATTGCAGGGCAGTTTCACGGCCACCGGGAACGTGGGTGGCCAGGGTAGCTTGAGCAAAGTATTGTGTTACCTGCTGTCCGTGGTAGAACACAGCAAGGAGGAACATGGCCATCAGCAGCAGGGAGGCCTCCTTGGTCCCCAGGAAATCTCTGTGGGAAGAAGAAAAACAATATGGTGGTATGGAGGGACTTCAAGGATGCTCCCAGGGAATCAGGTTTGACCAGGAGTGGGAGAAGAAGAAAGTGCCTTCTGAGCACCCACCATGAGATACGGGCTGCACTGCCGGTTCACGCATCAGCTCTTCAGCAACCAGGGTCCTCTAAACAGTGGAGGTCCCCAGGACATACCTGGTAGGAGAGATTCTAGAGCCCAGCATCTAGACAATGTGCCCACATTAGTAATGTCTTCCATTTGCAGGTACATTTTTTAGATCTCAAAGAGCTTGTATGCCTTCTCATCACAGAAATTCATGTGAAGACTTACATCCTCCGATCCCCCTTTTGGGATCTGATCCTCTTTAGAAGACCACTGTGAAATCTTTGTTGTGTGACAGTCTTTATTTTGAGTGCTTTCGTGCTTAGATTTTTGTTGGACACTGTTGGACAAGTTGGACACTGTTTTAAACCTTATGTCATTTTTTAAACCCCTAGATCAATTCTATATGACAAGGAGGACCGTTTCCTCCATTTTAAACCTTCTGTCTCTTAGTAAACCCTTTGCTCCCTTGGAGCTGTCTCTTGCAGGCGTGTACCTCAGCACTAGATCCATGAGCCTTGTGGGGAAAAGCTTGGGGAGGCACGGACCTGGGCTCTCTAGAAGACCCAGCTGCAAAGGCCGGTGGCAAGGACACACAGACGCCCTGACATGACCTTCATCCATGAAGGGCGTTCTGAGGCCCAGGGATCCCTGGCTTTATTCTCAGTTCTTTCTCAGTTCTTCCCCAGCATGGGGTCTTCTCAGGACATGTTAGGCCAGGAGGAAAAAGGCTTGGAGGAAGCAACATTGGACTGTGAAGTGGACATGTGGAGATAAAGCCTGGACCGGCTTTCACTGGTTAAAGAAGGAAACCCAAAATAAAAATATTCAAGTACAAATTATCTCTCCGTAAGATGTGGTTTGTCTTAATATGACCTAGGGTTCTCTCTGCCCAGGTTTCGCCATCTCAGGAAGTGCCCCCTCATCCACTCACCCAGGTCCTTGAGACAAAAGCAGAAATAAAACTAGGGGTCAGTCCTCACCACTCCCATCAACTCAGAGCAAAATCCTGTCACCTCTACCACTACGTACCGCCAGCCTGATTCCAACTGCTACCTTACATGGCTTCCTACAGTCTACTTTCTACAGTGATGCCAGAATATATTTTTTTTTAATCACTGAAACCAGATCCTATCACTCCTTTGTTTAATCCTGTCCCCACCACAAGCACACATAGCCTCAGAACTCACTCCAAAGTAACTCTGATGTGGCCTAAAGACATATGGGACTATCACAGATGAGAAGCAGTACCTACAGGGAGAAGAGCAGGGTCCATCCAGGTGTGTGAAGGCCATCACACGCTTTCCCTTCTCTCTTCTTGCTGGAGACTAGCAGGTGCAGCACAGGGAAACAGGGCATGGACTCAGCTACCTACACTAGCTTCTCACCTAGCTTTGTACTGAAAGGCCCCCCAACCTAAAGTAGCCAAGACCAGTGCGGCTCCCCAGGTAAGTGCAGGATTTAGGAATGGGAATGTGCACTCTCTTGGAAAGGTATTGAGTGCGTAGTGACCACGAGGACCAGAGAGCTCTGGGGACTACAGTAGGATTCAGCACCCTAGTTCCATCTGCTTTTCCTTGGAGATAAGATGCTAATAATGGACCTTAATATGTTTCTTATCTATGGCCCCAGAGAAGCACATAATTACTGAGCTTCTCCTGTGTGGTAGACATACACTGGGAGGCAGAGATAAAGAAAGCACATTGTCTCTGCCCTCAAAATAGGCCAGTAAGAGAAAGAACAAATACATAGATAATTTTATAATATGATAAACTCCATGGAACAGATATATCCTCGTTGCCATGGGAGTGCTTGGGAAGAGAAAGTAACCCAGGCTGCGTGTCAGGGAAGACTTAGGGTAAGACTTGAGGAGGAAGGGGTGGGATGTGTTCCTTAAGTTCAAGACACATCTTGCTTGGCCAGCTGAGTTAACAAGCCTCTAGGGCAGGGATAAGAAATAAATGCCACATGTCATGTTTGAGGTCACATGAAGACTCAGTAAGAAAGTGTTCACATCTACTGGAGCTGTCCAACAAGAGAGCTCAAGTGCAGAGAGTCGGACTCTGGCCCATGTATTTTCACCCCTGCATTTTAGGGATGAGGATTCAGGATTCCTGAACTCACTCACCATGGGGCTTGTTCTGAGGGGACAGGAGTATTTAATGATCATCTTTTCTTTGCTTTTTGTCACTTTGTTCTCTAGCTCCTGAAGTTTGTGGATCTCTGGGAAAATGATTCAGGCTCTGAACTCTTTGAACTCTTACAGAACCAGGATGCAGTCTTGGCTCTGCTACCCATCAGGTTTTGAGCTTGGGCATGTCACTTAATATCTCTGTGTCACAGTTTACTTTGTCATCTGTGCATGACTCTAATAATGTTTACTATACAAATATGAGGACCTTCTGGCCCCCCGTCTTCCTCTCCCACCTGGGAGGAGCATGGTGCTGGTGCTTCTACAGATCACTCCTGCACGTTGCTTGGTTTGAGTGGAAGATTTCCTAGGTGTGGTGCCTTCTGTGAATCCACGAATCTGTCCCAAGCTCCTGTTCGGCCTAGTACTTCTGAGATCCTTTTCTTTGTGATGCAGGAAACTTATTTTAAGCCCAGCAATTTATCATTGGAAACACATTTTCAAGAGAAAACACAAATACCTCTTGAGTCATTTTGAAAGTAGTGATTGACCAAAAATAGAAAGATGACTAGACGAAACTCAGAAGCAAAAGTAAAGGAAAATTGTGAACAATCTCAAGTGTTTAGCTGTACTTCAGATGAAAAAAAAAAAAAGCCTAAGTAGAGACTGCAGAATATGCACAGTAAGTCAGCCAGGCTGAGAAACATCCAAAAGAAATTATGCTTTGAATTTAGAAGATTTTTTTGTAGCCTCTCTAATTCTTTGAAAAACTTCTGAAGAGAGCCAAATGGCTGAATTCTGTACCATATTATAATACTTCACTTGATATTGAGTGTTGGGGACCAAGGACATTTTAAACTGATTTATTTGGATTAATAAAATCATTGAGTAATACTGCTGTCTTCCCATGCTAACAGGAAAGAACATCATTAATCAAAACATGTAGAATAATGAAATTCTCAGGGTTATGATAATCTTTAGAGAGTACCTTATCTGATGTATCTTAAAGATTAGTATTAAATTTGAATATTACTCATTAAAGAAGTATTTATGATAATTGTAGTATATTTGGGAATTTAAAAACTTACCAATAAGAAAATAAAAATTATCCTTGGAGTCAATGAAGTGTCATTTTCTTTTACCGCATGAAAATATGTTGACAAATGCAGGATTCTCTGGTGCATACTATTTTATAACTTTATAACATTTTAACTCATAATATTTTTTCATAGTATTTAAATTTAATTTTATAACTTCATAACATTTTCATAACCTATACTTTTGAACTTATTATAAATCATGAAAACAATTCTATGTCACAAAATACAATGTATATTTGTTAAATCCACTCAGTTCTGTAGTATGTGTATCCACAATATAATATCACTTGCAAGCCTTTTATTTTATCAGCAGGAGACTGTGGACCAGAGAGAAGTTACTTCTTCATGGTTACACAGCTCATCTGTGTCACAGCTGGTTGGGAACTCACATCTCAGCTGCCAAATTCATAGCATTCAGTATTGAGCATTCAACTCTAATTTTTAGTTTCGTTATTAGTTCCCATCCGCCTCCATGGAACCTATAATAGACCATCCCATTTTAATTTATCTTTTATTCTAGTGCATATTAATGATATACATTTTTAGGTGCTTATTTTCTATTACATTTGAGATGGTCACTTCTGGCTTTGTCATATCAAAAATAATAGGCTATGATACTTATTCTGGAGAAGGAGAAACCAAAACTCGGGTGTTAAGTAATTCACTCTAGTTCACAAAGGTAGTTCAAGGTGACAACTTATCAATCCAGATCTCAGTTATCTTTTTCATAATTCTGTACTACATGCAGCTACTTATTGTTGCTTGACCCTAAGCCCCTAAATGGTGGATATGATTCTTATTCGTCTATGACTCTGTAGCACTGGCCAAAGCTGACGACAGAGGGTAGTGTGTGTTGAGTGGATAGGCAGGTGGATGAATGGAGCTTATGTGATGTTGGATGGATGCTATTTGGCTTCCACCCTGTATGTGGGCTATCTCTTGGGTGTTCATTCCTCATCTACGATGAATGCCACATGTGGATAAGTGTAACAGAATTGACTTTTGTTGTGGGGTCACATGCAACATAGAAATGCAGGAGGGCTTCTTGGAAAAATCATTAAGTTTCAAGATGATGACAGCAGAGCATTAAACCAATCACAGAACCTTTCTGAATGCAAATGGGGATCAAAGTGATAGCAATTTAGGTGAGAAGAAATCTGTCCTCATGCTTCCAGATCCTGCCAGCACCATCTTTCATTGGTTTTCTTTGAAAGTGCTTCCCTATGTATTTTTTCTTGATGTTATCTATTCCAGTTCATTCTCACTTGTGAGAGCCTCATCTGGTATCACCTTTAATGTCTGGAATGCCTTCAATGCACGACATTAT